ACAAAAGGCACATTGTTTTGGGGGGGGGGGGGAACAGTCCACATTTACAGAACTCTTTAATACATACCATGATTAACTATTTTTTAAATTATAGATGCTTTGGATAATTAAAAATTATCTTATTCAATGAACAGCATATTTTTTCACACAAAGAGTTATTTTTTAAAATATATTTTTTATTGATTTCAAAGGGGGAGGGAAAGGGAGAGACAGAAACATCAATGATGAAAGAGAATCACTGATTGGCTGCCTCCTGCACACCCCCTACTGGGGATCGAGTCCACAACCAGGGTTTGTGCCCTTGACCGGAATCGAACATGGGACCCTTCAGTCTGCAGGCTGACACTCTATCCACTGAGCCAAACCCGCTAGGGCAAGGCTGCTTTTTAAAATAAGCAATGTAGGTGACTCTGAGGTGCACTCAAGAACCACAGCCGTAGGAGGTCACAGCACATGAAAAGCCAGCCCCACTTTTACGCCTCCTTTGTGGTGGGGCAGCAAGCTGGCTCCGGTAAGAACAATCCCCACATGGCATTCATTTCTGCACAGGAGTATTTCCTCTCTGAGCAGGAAGCCCATGTACTATGCCAGCTCTCTTCTCCAGACAATCACTGGTAGATAGGAACTCAGCATGGGATCTTAGCTGTGTAGTATCCTGTCTCAAAAATTGCTCCCCTCTTGTGGTTTTTCATCTTTCCCAGTTGGAAATGGGGACCCTCTGCCTTCTTCCTGCCCAGGGCAGACAGGGCAACAGATTGCTCAGGATGTAGCTCAGGGGACACTTGTGTGCCCACCACTCATCTGCGAGTGACCACCAGTGCCATTTCCGCCCACTGCCTCCCAGCCCAGGCCTCCTGATGAACAGTGGAGACACCTTCCTCCTCGCTGGACCGAAAACTTTCAGAGTCTGAAGACAGTACATTCACAGGGGCATAAACTTCGTTGACTCCCTTGTGTATCGATTTCTCATAAGGTGGCTAGAGGATGTACATGTTCTGGAGGAATCAGAAAGTGAGCATTGAAGGGTAGGAGTGGGGTTGGCATGTACCCAGAGAGAGAGAGGCAAATGCATGTCCTGGACATGGCGGACTCACCTACTGGGCCTGAGAGGCACAGACTGGCAAGGGGACACATAGGCCGTTATTTCTTAAGCCACCCAAACGGGGTGAAGGAAAATGAAAGTTTTTGAGTGGATATCAAAGGAAATGTGGCTCAAAGATGGAAAATCATCCTTTGTGGGAGAATGAGAGAGGAGAAGATGTAGAGCAGGAGGGACTCTCACTACTGGCTTACGTGCCTTTGGCCGCAGGGTGCTAGGGATTGGCTGGTGGAGGAGAGCCCTTCCCTGTTACCCCAGGAGCCCGACAAGCATGGGAAGAGTTGATGGGGCTGCTGCATTGCTATTGTGTCACTAGGCCCTTTTCCTGCTCAGGGCCCCATCATTTAAAGTGCCATCCCCTGCTCATTAGCCAAATATAGCAAAAAAGAATGAGGAGAGAGGTGGGTGGAAAGTGAGAGTTAGGGGAGAAAGACAGGTGCCCTTGGGGCTTTCGTGAGCGCCTGGGCCAGTATCTCAAAGCAGCAGGGCTTGCTTTCCTTGGGGTAGGGACTGGGGGTGGGGCCACAGCAACCACTCTGCCCTCAGCAAGCTCCTCACGTGATGTGGTGTGGGCACCCAGACTCTGTTTTGTGGGTCTCCATGCCCTCCTTTTCCTGGTGCTCTGTAGAACCTGCTCCGCTGGGCACAGATGGTGGGACCAGCGATGGAGCCCAAGAGACGCAGTTGGAAGTGAGAAGTATACATGAGTTCATAAATAAAGTTCTATCAGAACACAGTCCCACACGTTCATGTACGTACTGTCTGGTCGCTTTCATGCTACAACAGCAGAATTCGAGTAGTTGCAACAGAAATGGCATGGCCTGTAAAGTCTCAGATATTTACTATCTGGTCCTTCATGGAAAGACTTTGATGTCCTCTAGGTCTCTAGGTCTCTCGTTGGCATTTAAATGCTTAGCCTTGAAGTGACTCACATCACTCTACTCCCAACTTAGGGGCCAGAATGGTCACGTGACCTTACCCTTCCATCCTGGGCCAGTAAGTACATCCTACTATGTGCCAGGAGGTGGGTAACCAGAATATTTGGTACTAATGATCACCACAACAGCCTAGTATGTGTTGGACTCAGTACCGGGTGCTGAATATAGAAAGATAAGACCAAATCCCTGATCTCAAGGAACTCAAGGAATGCTAGGATTTCGGGGCCGGCGGTGGGGATAGGCTAAGTGTAGATTCACGTGTCCTTCCCTGGAATACCTAGCTCTGTCTTGTCTAATTGCCTGAGACAGTAGTTGCTCTCTCAGCTACATGATCGCCAGACCTGGGGACTGGCCGGCCTGGCAGGCGGTAGGGGCAACAGATTTCCCTGATGAGCATTTATATCAATAATAGAAGGGTTGTTTAACAGGAATTCTTAAAGGAAAGATGAGATAATTTCATGTTTTGATATTCATAAAATTGATTCCGTTGAAATGGGAGCTCTGCCGTGCATATTATTGCTGCTATAATTTTGGCAAAGATGTAATTCAAATTGGCACAGTGTCTGGGAAGGGGGATCCAAGAAGGAAAGAGAGGGTGCGATGGGCCAGGAGGCAGAGGCACGGGGCCAGGTCCCGGGAGCCTGGTGAGAGCCGGGATGGTGGCCTGGGTGGCCCGGGTGCCTTGGCCGTGGAGGGCCAGGAGGGAGAGGAGGCCGCTCGAGTTTCTGGTGGTGCTAAAGCTTGGGAGGGAGTGGGAGCCACCCAGGGAGGGCTGCGTGCATGTGTGTGGTGGGGGAGAGACATTTAAACATCGTGGGAATGAAGGATAAATTTAAAATCCATCAAGCGCAGTTGAGACAGAATGACAACGTGAGGAGCATGAATCACTCTTTCTAGGGACCCGCCCAACTGTTTGCAGGATTCCTAATGTATATGCTCCTGCATTCCTGCTCCCCACCGAGCTCACGCGGGACCCTCTCCTTCTCCTTCTCCCCTTGCTCACTTGGCCCAGCCCTGGTGGCCGAGTATGTAGTGCTGACCAGCACGTCCCCATGGAGGAGGAAGTGTCACCAGGGGAGGCAGGGTCAGGGGCTGGAGGACAGCATTCGGGGAGGGCCCCTCCCCTCCCCAGTGCAGAGTGGGTGCTCACGAAGCACTGGGTGAGTGAGCTGGACGCCAGGGCTTCTCCGAGTGTGGAGAGGACAGGGCACTTCTTAGAGGCAAGGGCACGTGTGTGCCGTGTGTGGTCACGGAGCCTGGTTTGGAATGTGGGTGGGGAAAAGGCTGGGAATTGAGGTGTTGGGCTCTGGGCATGGAGGGAGACAGTAAGCAGGTATCTTTGGAACTTGGCAAGTTCAGGGCCTCTCAAGCCGGAAGGACTGTCCCCGACCTCAGGCTTGCTGTGGGAATTGTTTCCAAATCCTACATCCTCA